ATGTCTATTCATGTCTGCTTATACAAATGCCTCAGTTATCTTTTCTGAATGGTAAAACCTTGTCAATATAATCAAAGTTGAATAAATGAAAGTGATCTCCCAACTCCTATCCACCAAACTTAACATGGAAGTGAAAAGGGTTAGTACTGAGTCCCCTGATGGATGAATTGTTGCAGGCCTTAAAATACTGGTTCTCGTGTGGGTGAATGTGAGTCGGTGTGCTTAAAAAGGCATAATTCTCTATGTCATGTGATTAGAATCATAGAATCATAGAGCTGGAATAGACCATGAGGGCCACTCAGTCCAACCCTCTGCCATGCAGAAACTCACAATCAAAGCACTCCCAACAGGTAGCCATCCAGCCTTTGTTTAAAGACCTCAAAAGAAAGAGACTCCACCATTCTCCAAGGGAGAGTGTTCCACTGTTGAACAGCTCTTACTGTCAGGAAGGTCTTCCTAATGTTGAGGTGAAGTCTCTTTTTCTGTAGCTTGCATCCATTGTTATGCATCCTATTCTCTGGAGCAGCAGAAAATAAGCTTTCTCCATCCTCAATACGACACCTCTTCAATACTTAAACAGGGCTATCATATCACCTCTTAACCTTCTCTTCTCCAGGCTAAACTTACCCAGCTCCCTAAGTCTCTCCTCATTAGGCATGGTTTCCAGACACTTCACCATTTTGGTCACCCTCCTCTGGACACGCTCCCATTACAAATTTTTCAACCAATTACAAATCCACCTAACAGCTGTCTAAATGTCTAATCCACATTTTATTAGCTTGTTTGCAAGAATGTCATGGGGGATCTTGCCAAAGGCCCTACTGAAATCAGGATGTGCTATGTCTACAGCAGGGGTAGGCAACCTGTCCCCTTTAAGGGCCAAGGGACTTCAGCTCCCAGAAGCCTCAGCCATGTTGGCCAACAGTCCCATGTTGGCCAATAGCTCCTGGGATTCTGGGAACTGAAGTCCCTCGGCCCTTAAAGGGGACAGGTTGCCTACCCCTGGTCTACAGTATTCCCTTCATCTACCAAGCTGGTAATTTTATCAAAAAAGAGATCAGATTAGTCTGACAATGACATGTTTCTCTGAAACCCATGTTGACTTTTTGTGATTATGACATTCCCTTCTAAATCTTTAATGATCTGCTCTAGAATCTTTCCTGGTATTGATGCCAGACTAAAGGGCAGTAATTGTTTGGGTCCTCTTTTTCCCCCTTTTTGAGCATTTGCCATTCTCCAGTCTGCAGGGACTTATCCTGTTCTTCAAGAGTTCTCAAAGATTATTGCCAATGGCTCTGAAATTACATTGGCCAGTTCTTTGAACACCCTTGGATGTAGTTCAACATGTCCACAGGTCAGAATATTCTTGATGACTTAACCAGGGGTTGTGCCAGCAAACATTTGTTTGTTTGTGTGCAAACACTGCAGGGTCAACCTAGGCTGGGCTAAACTACAGCATCTGGGTGGTAACCCAAATGGCCATTGTTTAGGTTCAGGGATATGTTGAGGTGCACAGACACACACCCCCCCATACAGTTGACCAACTTATAGCTATCTCCCTTCCAGACATTCAGCATAAATATTTCTTCATAGCAAGGATAGACAACTACATGGGTGTGGAGTAGGGACCAATTTTCTCCTGACCCACCCTGAGGGGCACAGTTGTCTGTCTATGCTTCCAAATGACTCTGTTTTCAGTCATATCCCACCTAAAATAGTGACTGTAATCTATTTTGGCCAATTATGGCTGAAAACAAAGATGGTGGGGGGTTCCTACCACTTCATTACATCATCAGGGATCGTGGCCCTAATCTTAACAACAAGAAATAAAAGTTTTGCATTGCCTTGGGTTCTGTCAGGTCTATTGTAGTATCTATTTTCATTGAAAATGGCAGCCTAAGATAAAGGTCTATGTGGACAGTTCATTTGGTCAGATAACCACACTGTACCAAGTAATTGCATTGCAAACCAGTGCCAGGCAGTAGGGCTTGTTAGCTAATTCAACAGTACACAACCATGGCAAAGGAGGCGTATTTTGTCAGTCTGGATATCATTTGTTGAAACTATTCAAACCCTTTTGAATGTATGGATAAACTATAGTGATACTTGTGAAGAGGTTGTGTTACCACTCAGAATAGCCCTCCTCCATCCCTAGTTGACCTTTGACCAACTTAATATTAAAAGGGATGTTTGGTCACATAGCCACCAGAGGCAAAAGTTCATTGAAAAAAAGCAGGTGGATATTATTATTATTATTATTATTATTATTATTATTATTATTATTATTATTTTACCCCGCCCCTCTGTTAAAAACAATTGAGGTGGCTTACAGTAGTTAAAAATTACATCAATACAATCTAAAAGCCCCAAACCCCCACTCTCCCCCATAAAAACGTATTCAACTAACATCCATTAAAATCCAACTGAATCTTAAAATAACAGAGAATAAAACAAATAAAAGAGAGCATATCTCTCTTTCAAATATATAGCAACATGATTTTATATCACTTTTTCTTGGGGTTCTTTAAGAATCTACAGTTCCGTTAACAAAGAATAACAGTTGTCATATACACAATTGCATATTTGCACATTTAGAAACTGTAACAAACCAAAAAGAATTTTCTAGTCTATCTTTGGATAGCTGGAGAGGCAGGTTGTGGAATTTGGCTCTGAAGGAGAAATTGACAGCTCATACTGAACTGTTGAATAACATACAAGTGGCTGAACTTATAGTATTTGGTTTTCATTTATTGAATATGTCAATAACAAGTCTGTTACTATTTGTCCTCCAAAATTGCATGTAAGCCTTTGGAATGATGTGCCCTCTTAATTTTCAATCAAGTGATAGTTTCTATAATTTCATTTTTTATATATATTTCTTTTTCCTTCTGAAGCCAGATATATTGTCAGAGGAATTTTGTTATTGTTATACCATTTTTTATGACTATGTTATCTAAATAAAACAATTTCAAAATCCAAAGAGCAACAATTTACACTAGAATGACATATTCACTTACCAAAAATTCCACTGAACTCAGTGCAGTATATTTCCAGACAGATTTACAGTGTTTGGAAAGTGATTTTGAAGAATGAATATTATGATATAATGAAGCCAGTTGCATAACTGTTATAGAACTGAGCATTAGTAGAAGGAAGTTCTCATATAGGGAAAAACATATCTGGTAATCTCACTTTGTCCTTGGAGCACAGAACTG